CACCCCCAGCTCTGCCCCTGCCTTTCCCACTCAGGCCCAAGGAAGGGAGCCAGGAGAGCGGGGGGCCCCGAAGTAAGCGGGCCCTGGAGGAGGAGGGGGGCTCGGAGCCCCTGTCGAAGAACAAGCAGAAGAAGCAGCTGCGGAACCCGCACAAGACCTTCAACCCCTCGCTGAGACGTGAGCCGGAGGCGGGCTGGCGGGGAGGGCGCCGCAGGGCTGGGCCTGGTGTGCGCCGGCCCTGCAGCGAGGGCTTCAGCCCTGGCGGGCATCAAGGGCAGACGCCCCCCTGCGAGGGCGCCTCTGCCCTTGGCCGCCCTGTCCAGCTGCCCGCCCCGCCCCCTGCCCACTGGCACCTGCTTTCTCTCTCCTCAGCGAAATACGCCAAGTGTGACCAGTGTGGGAACCCAAAGGTGAGGCGGGGTGGGCGCAGCAGGAGGGTGGCTGGGGAGGCCGGGGGCAGGGGTGGGCGCCCCACCCCGCGGCGGGGACCCAGGCTCTGCGCCTTCCCCCAGGGCAGCAGATGCGTGTTTGAGCTGTGCCGTGGCTGCTGCAAGAAGCGGGCCTTCCGGGAGACCGCGGACTGCCCAGGTGGGGGCGCAGGCGGGAGGCGGGGCCCCAGAGCCCGGGATCCCTTTGGGCCTCATTTGCGCTCCTCGCCCCCGCAGGTCACGGGCTGCTTTTTAAAACCAAGCTGGAGAAGGCCCTGGCCTGGAAGGGGGCCCAGCCCAGGCTGCAGGAGCCGCAGCAGGCAGCTTCCCCAAAGTCCTGGGCTGCACCCTGGCTCGAGGGGCCAGCCGGAGCCCCACTGCCTCGCTCGCCGCCCCCTGGACTGCCGGGGAAGCCGGACACTTGGGGGACACAACAGCTTCCGCTCAGGGAACCTCCCGCGACGTAGCGCAGAGGAAGCGGGCGGCCCCCCTCCCGGCCCCCGCCGGACCTGCCGTCCACACCTCTCCCCGCCTCGCGTGTCGGGAACAATAAATCGTCTCGGAGCTGCGCATGTCGAGCTGGTGGCGACCGTGGCGGCGAGCTGTGGGGCCGGGCAGAGGCCGGTCCACCTGGCTGCTTCGGCCCAGGAAACCCCAGAGGCGAGGGGGGGCCTCCCCCAACTGCTGCGTGCAGGGGCCGCCCAGGAACCTGACCCCAGGGCCACTCGCAGGAAGAGGCGGTGCAGAGAGCGCTGTCAGGCTGCCCTTTAATGGACGCAGCTCCGCGGCCCCAAAGCGGGGGGGACAGAGGCTGGGGAGCCGGGCACTGAGGTGAGCTCCGCAGGGCCCCAGGGCGCTGGCCGCGGGCTGGGGAGCAGGGCCAGTGCCTGGCGGCCGGGCGCAGGGTCGTGCGGGCGGCGCCGCCCGGGAGCCAGGGCCACGGCAGCGTCACATGTTGGTGCTCATCCGGGACTGGCTGTTGGCCGGGGTCAGCTCCCCCTGGCTCCCTTCCCTGGGCGGGGACTGCGGAGACACTGCGGCTCAGGGGGTGGCATGGGGGTGGGCGCCCGCCCGCCCCATGCCCGCCCGCCGCCCCCCCCACCTTGACGTGGATCTGGTTGCGCAGCACGGCGGCCCGCAGGATGGTGGCTTTGGCTCGGCGCTGGAACTCCTTGCCCATCAGCAGGGACTTCTCGAAGGTGGTGCTGCGCTGGTCCACGTCCCTTGCGTACAGGATCTGGGGGGGGGGGCAGGAGATGAGCCCCGCCCCTCCCCTCCCCCCCCAGCCCCCCGGCTGGCAGCCACCTTGCTGTGGGAGTCGATGCGGGCGTTGATGAGCCCTTCCAGGATGAGCTGCGTCAGCTCGTCTTCCAGCGCTGCCACCGTGGTGTTGAAGGCCGTGGCCATCTTGCGCATGTCCGCGGACACATAGGGGCTGAAATACTGAGGCGGAGGGGTGTCAGCTCCCCGCCAGCCCGGCCGCAGCCCCGCGCTCCGCCCCCGGCTCACCTGGATGAGGGCCCGGTTGCGAATCTGCGTGTACAGGGTCCTGACGTGGGGGGCCAGGTACATGTCCAGGAGCAGGTTGTCCTGCAAGCACAGAGTCAGGCGCCGCCCGGCCCGCCCGGCCCAGCTGCGCCCCAGGCCCGGCCGCACCTTCATCTCGTCCAGCATCTTCAGGCACGAGGCGTACTTGGACTCGTAGAACTTGAAGATGATGTCGCGCACCTGCGGCTCCAGCTCCAGGAACAGCTTGAAGGAGCTGCGGGCACAGCTGCCTCAGCCGCC